TAACCTGCCTACGCCCCGGCAGGGTGAATATTTGACTTGCCAACATAAAACAGCCAAGAAATCGTTCAATCACGTCTTCCCTCTGACCACCAGCATCGATTTTCTTTCCTGCTGTAAAGCTACAGTTGAAGCCCTGTTCTCGTCGAAAGAGCACTCTTCCATGATCATGTTAGACCCAAAATGTCATAGAACTCCAAAATACAAACTGCACCAACGAAAAGCCACTGCGAAGTGACAGGAATGCGGTCCAGCACAACATTTTTGCGGACGCAAAAAGTTGTGGGGAAATCCCAAAATCGGTGCGATTTTGCATGAGCCCAAATGTTCAGGTTACCCACAAAGACACAAGCTTTCCAACTCTCTTTGGCCGTTGGAAAGCGTACCGTCTTTGTGGTCCACTTCACAACAATAACACACACAGAAGTCTCTGCTGTGAGCACGGTGGCTCGGCAATGGCGACAGAAAAGGATAGCCCTGGGTACATGCCTTGCCATATACTCTGTGTTACCTGTCAAATTGTGTCATTCGATTCGGCTGCATAGCGCTTGCATAGATTCCCAATATTTGCCAATACGAGGTTTGGATTCATCCAGTAAGGCAGACTGCACTATCCATGTTCCTGAACAACACTCTCATTAACATCCTACTCGCGCAGCATCTATAGAAAACAGCTCTCGGCCCTGGTATACGTCATAGAGATGTAAAGGCCATGGTAAGTGCCAAGCATGTGTCTCGCCATACAATGGCTGGCCCAGCTGCTGATGTGATCATGCCAAAACGTCTGTATATAGGCCACAGTCCATACTGTACGGTCAGGGCATTGACTCGGTAGGTACCAAATGCCCCCCCTGAACCCAGGCATCTTAGTGCTCTTCAGACCACTGCGATAGCCACACAACTGAGCGCAAGATTAAGACAAGATATGTCACTTCCGTGCCCAACGCCTCCACCTGTGGAAACATACAAGTCACAGAAGCGAAGCACAAACACAACACACAACTGCAGGCCAAAGAGGTACTGTACTGTATTTCTCACTAATTCCCAGACGGTACTCACACCCATCAAACTGTGCCACTTTGGCAATATTTCTCTCACTAGTTTCCCGAAGGCATTCACACCCATGAAACTGCGGCATCAGCTCTCTCTTCCTCTCTTTCTCTCTCTCTCTCTCTCTCCTTCTCTCTCTCATTACCCGAAGGCATTCACACAGACCAAACTGTGCCACTGCAGCATTAGCTCTCTCTCTCTCTCTCTCTCTCATTACCCGAAGGCATTCACACAGACCAAACTGTGCCACTGTGGCATTAGCTCTCTCTCTCTCTCTCATTGCCCGAAGGCATTCACACCCACCAAACTGTGCCACTGCGGCGTTAGTTCTCTCTCTCTCATTGCCCGAAGGCATTCACACCCACCAAACTGTGCAACTTCGGCAATATCTCGGTGCCACTGCGGCATTAGCTCTCTCTCTCTCTCTCTCATTGCCCGAAGGCATTCACACCCACCAAACCGTGCCACTGCGGCATTAGTTCTCTCTCTCTCATTGCCCGAAGGCATTCACACCCACCAAACTGTGCCACTTCGGCAATATCTCGGTGCCACCGCGGCATTAGTTCTCTCTCTCTCATTGCCCGAAAGCATTCACACCCACCAAAACTGTGCCACTTCGGCAATATCTCCGTGCCACCGCGGCATTAGCTCTCTCTCACTCATAGCCCGAAGGCATTCACACCCACCAAACTGTGCCACTTCGGCAATATCTCGGTGCCACCGCGGCATTAGTTCTCTCTCTCTCATTGCCCGAAAGCATTCACACCCACCAAAACTGTGCCACTTCGGCAATATCTCTGTGCCACCGCGGCATTAGCTCTCTCTCTCTCACTCATTGCCCGAAGGCATTCACACCCACCAAACCATGCCACTGCGGCATTAGTTCTCTCACTCATAGCCCGAAGGCATTCACACCCACCAAACTGTGCCACTTCGGCAATATCTCCGTGCCACCGCGGCATTAGCTCTCTCTCTCACTCATTGCCCGAAGGCATTCACACCCACCAAACTGTGCCACCGCGGCATTAGTTCTCTCTCTCTCTCTCATTGCCCGAAGGCATTCACACCCACCAAACTGTGCCACTGCGGCATTAGCTCTCTCTCTCTCATTGCCCGAAGACATTCACACCCACGAAATTGTGCCAGTGTGGCATTAGCTCTCTCTCTCTCTCTCTCTCTCTCTCTCTCTCTCTCTCTCTCTCTCTCTCTCTCTCTCTCTCTCTCTCTCTCTCTCTCTCTCTCTCTTCATTGCCCGAAGGCATTCGCACCCTTCACACTTCTGAGCCGCACTGGGGCTCTCTTACACTTCACTGACAAGGGCAAAGTAAGAATAGGATACCAGATATACGGTAATCGGCTACACAACTATTTCACACTTTTCGGTGTTTGTCTCCTTCATGCTCGTTACTCCTTATTCATGCTTCCGCAGGTACCCTTGTCTCATTTATGCTCGTTATTCATTATTCATGTTTCCGCAGGTACCCTTGTCTCATTCATGCTCGTTATTCCATATTCATGCTTTCGTAGGTACCCAACTATTTCACACTTTTCGGTGTTTGTCTCATTCATGCTCGTTATTCATTATTCATGCTTCCGCAGGTACCCTTGTCTCATTCATGCTCGTTATTCCTTATTCATGCTTTCGTAGGTACCCATATACCTTATAATGGATTCTGTTTTTCATGTCCATGGATCATAGTGATGTTTCATCACTGGTTTAGCGGCAAAGCACCGAGAATTATGAGTAAATACATCCCTTGCACACAAATTGCATGACCCACCAGGCCCCTACATTATACTCATCCGCTTGTAAGAAGCTCGTTGCATGGCCTGACCACTCATTCAATGCAAAATGAATACCTTAAGCCCAAAACAGACATTGTTTATCATCATGTACACTTGCCTGATGGATAATTCAGCCCAGGTGGTATCTGAGGGGATTTATCTGCCCTCGGCACAGGTGTGGCTGTAAAGCATCTCACTTGTCAGATTGCCGCTGTGGGCGATTCCAGCTTTTTCTTGGTGGCTGCCAAGAACTCGGCTAGCCTCCTCTGCTGCAATACCGCTACTGAGAATAGGAGGCGGCCACATCAAATCCATCCACTTCCGCGCCACTCAAATATTGCAGCATCTCTGCCGTCATGGTTTGATCATTCTCCACGGCCTCCAGACTTAGATTGACGCCGGCTCTCACACTACGCCCGAACATCTTGCTGCTTGTGCAGAAGTTGCTTGCTGAGCGGTCGGGGTGTTGCCGCTACTTACTGGAACCCCGGATTTTTTTGTGAAAATCTCTCCACTCATTCACGCGGCCAAAGAGCCCATGCAGGGGCAGCACTGTGAGGTACGTCCATTATTACCGTGATGTGAGATAACTCGCTGGCTAGTTGCAGCTGGCAACATGCGCAACTGAATGCAGTACGCGACATACGGGTACCGACCGACCGACAAAGCTGGCATATACGGATGACCACCAGCAGGAAAATTAGTGGCTGACTGGCTGTGAAGGGCGAATATGGGTGCCCAGCAACATACTGCATTGTGAACAATGTACGAGTGATTACTTATACATGGTCGATGGTTTTACATGTTGACTGACAAACAGCAACATTCACCAGGCCTGCAGCAGATGCCACAATGGTTGGCTGACCAGCTGCACTGGACGAATCATTTGGCAGATTCTCCGCAGATAATACTGTATGTGACGGACTAGAAGTAGTAGCAATGGCCAAATTTGGCATATTCGCAGCAGATGACACTGGATTTGGCTGATAAGACGCAGCAACAAAGTTGGCTGGACAGCATCAATGGACAAACTTGGCAGCCCCGCTGTAGATCACACTATTATTTGGATGAACACTCGCAGCAGGCCGGCCGTACGTAACAATGACATGCTTGGCCGGCAGTTGACGTCCATGGATCTAGCTGTTCAGCAGCAGAGGTAAAAACGGCCGAAGCTGAAGAAAAACTAACCTGCCTACGCCCCGGCAGGGTGAATATTTGACTTGCCAACATAAAACAGCCAAGAAATCGTTCAATCACGTCTTCCCTCTGACCGCCAGCATCGATTTTCTTTCCTGCTGTAAAGCTACAGTTGAAGCCCTGTTCTCGTCGAAAGAGCACTCTTCCATGATCATGTTAGACCCAAAATGTCATAGAACTCCAAAATACAAACTGCACCAACGAAAAGCCACTGCGAAGTGACAGGAATGCGGTCCAGCACAACATTTTTGCGGACGCAAAAAGTTGTGGGGAAATCCCAAAATCGGTGCGATTTTGCATGAGCCCAAATGTTCAGGTTACCCACAAAGACACAAGCTTTCCAACTCTCTTTGGCCGTTGGAAAGCGTACCTGATCTGCTGTACGGGTCGACAGCATTTTTCGCCTGCCTGCGACAGGAGCAAGTCTCTCGCTTGCAAGTTCTCCAGAACCGAGCTGCCAGGGCAGTGTTTGGCCAGCCACCTTGCTCTCATGCTCAACCCCTCCTGACCAGCTTGCAGCTCTACAGCATTCAGGAGCTGCACAAGCAGAAGATGCTGAGGTTTGTGTGGCGTTGCCAGCACAATCGAGCCAGCCCAGCCCTCCAGGACAAGTTTCGAAGTGCTCATGGAAACACCACCCGCCTCCAGCAAGGACAGGGTTTGCGCCTGCCGCTAGCCCGGTCAGCAGCAGGGACATCCCATCCATCGCACGTACTACTCCCCTTGGAGTAGTCTGCACGGCGCTGCTGCTGCTGCTGCTGTTGCTGCTGCTGTTGCTGCTGCTGTTGTTGTTGTTGTTGTTGTTGTTGTTGTTGTTGTTGTTGTTGTTGTTGTTGTTGTTGTTGTTGCTGTTGCTGTTGCTGTTGCTGTTGCTGTTGGTGTTGTTGTTGTTGTTGTTGTTGTTGTTGTTGTTGTTGTTGTTGTTGTTGTTGTTGTTGTTGTTGTTGTTGTTGTTGTTGTTGTTGTTGTTG